AAATTACAAAAATCAATAATAGCCATCATTTAATTGAAGTGAGCACGAAATTTCTGGGAGATAATCTAGGATTGAATTCCGCCTTCAACACCGGTCTGAAGTGATTATCTGAGAGGAATAAAAATCGGTCCAGCAAAATAACAGTCTCTACGAGTGGAGCTAGCATGAATCTCAGTGCCTCGAATGCCGCAACATGACGCCACTTTGCTAAACACCCCTCTATTTCCGTATGATTTATTTCTAATATATTTACTCGCCTATTAATGTCAAGTTTCTCTGTAGCTAGTCTGCAATACCTGGAAAAAACACATCAATTTTTTAACGAAATTATGATTAGAATAGAAGTTCATCACATTCCTCCAAATATTGATAATTCACAAGTAAAGTAATTAGTGTGTTCCAACTTTCCAAAATTTTACTGGAATTTCCACTGCATCTGTTCATAATGTTCCTCTTTTCGTACCACAAAATATAATGAAATGGAATTTCAATACGACTATCTCAATTAAGAATTCAAAATTGTATGGAAAAACCAATAGAAACTGTAAATTTCGGTTCCGTTATCGTATAAAAATTGATGAAATTCATCTTTTGAAACGATTCGAAACTCAGAGTAATTTGGTACTAAATATTCATGCCGTAGCACGTGGAGTGTGATTTTTTCCCTTAAAACGAGGTCTGAAGAAACTATTGTAGTTGTAGTCTGCACTACTACCACATTATTAAAGTTTCGAGTTAATCTCACCGTGAGACAACATATAATTCCCATATATCTCGAACTTACTCCTGAAAACTCATCCGACCATTGACTTTCACGCTTCCGACTCTCCCACGCCTCATGACGTCCCCGCCCTTGTTCACTAAAATCTTCTCCAAAGTGGCCCTGTACGCGTGCACTTTAAGATCGTCATACTCATTACTCTTCATTTTATCACAGTAATTCTCGACGGCATGGCAGGCCACCTCTAGAGCAGCATAACTAAGTGAATGGCTACTATTCCTTTCAACGTATTTGCTCAGAGGATAGCCCAGGGCGCTGGTCGTCCTATCCTCGCTGAAACCATTAAAAATCACAATACCTGAACTAAACAATATCTCAGAAAAAATCACAATCTCGTAATATCTGCCCGAAGCAATAGCAAACAACCATGACAGCCAAAAAAAAAATCACTCTTGAAAACGAAAGAACCAGAACTACTCAGTTTTTATCACATTGTGCAACTCAGTCATCAACTTTAATAGTTTCTTACTTGATAGTTAGCTTCATATAACAGCATCCAACGACGCTGATGAACTTAGCATTCTGCTGTCCAACATAAAATTTGAGCAATCTCGCAGCTAAATCACCACACGGATGCAATCCAATCAAACCAAACCCATTGTCATTTGATTGCTGTGAAAAATAATCCCGCAATATTCCTCTAAACACAGCTGGTAACCCATCGCCCGTGCAACTTTCATCGACTATTTTAGCGCACAAATGATAGGGTGGTACACCACAAAACCCGGCTAAATGTGTCTTGAATTTCTTCATAAATTGCTCGTCATATTTTCGCGCCAACTCTGAGAGTGATTTATCCTGTTCTATGCAGATAACCGCGAGTTGATATTTGTACGCCAATTCACGAGCCAAGTGACCAATGCCAGCACCAGTGTCGACGATGCAACTGCTGTTGGATAATTCGGAACACCGGGCGACTATCTCCGAGAATTTCTCGATCTCGTAGCGTTTCTTCTGCTTAACGTGCTTCTTGAATAAATTCTCAAATTTGTCGAGACGTTTGTCTTTGGTGATCAAGGTCTCGCACGTTTTAACTGATTCTTTAGGATCCCGTTGAGACAACTTGCAGGTGAATCGAGTCCTCGCCGTTGGCTCTCGATTGATACTCAATAGATCGATCGATCGTCGAAGCGCAATTAGCGATAATGGCCAGACATGCCGAGGTCTTCGCTCCCGAAGAATCCACGACCCCAATTCATCCAGCGCCACATTCTCCAGGATTTTCGCCCAGGGCCGGGGCAATCTGTCCCACAAGTTGTCTTGGAAGAAGTCCTTCGAAAAGAAAAGAAAGAAAAAAAAGGATCTTTTACTGGCCAAAAAAAAACTCAATTTCATTTCACATTCGAATTTAGCGCGACGCGTTCAATTAATCACTGACGCCTCCAGGTGTGATGAAAATCCGCCATAATTGAGTATCTGGAGTGCTTCAAATCAATACCATCAATACTGAAGCATGCGTCAATTAATTAAAAATTGATAATTAACATGAAAATACTAACGATTATGTAAGAATCCAGCATCCATCTGTAAAGATCTAGAACTTTGAGAGCGCTGTCAATAATGACTCTGATACCCAAGCAAGCATGACATGTGCACATGCTTTCCTGATCGGCGGCCATTTCCAATTATCTCTTTGTAACTACCGCGAGGACCGCTAGTCATTCAAATCTCTTCCGTCAATTCCCATACTGTTATAATTATAGGTTTGAATCGATCCGTCAAGACCTTATTGATTCCATGTGAGATGAAACTGATAGTTGGACGTAATACTTTTTATAACGTCTTCAGGATCTCAATAACTGTCTGATTTTTTTCCCTCTTTTCAATCATTTTATCAGCAGTGAAAGTAAAGTAAGACTGTGAACCGATGCTTCTCATGCGGATGAGCATATTTTCATTTGCCCGGTTGCCGTTTTCTCTTCTCCGTAGTCTCTGCATGCGAATTGTATTTATGAAATGCTGAAAAATATGGGCATATATTGCTTGTTGGCTTCGACCCGCGAATTATGGGCCGTGAATTTTTATTTAAATTTAATCCCGGACGAATTGCTGTTTAGCATTAACGAAATTTCCCGAAAAATCTGGGATATTCTATTGTCACTGTTGCAGACATGTCTAGCTTGATTTAGCAATTGAGCATACGACTTGATGGGGCAATGGGGAATTATTTGGGATTTATTTATTAATGCTGAAAACTTAGTACTGTTTTCTTGTGTTCTACTTTGCAACACTTTCACTCTTCACTCCAGGTGGTTACGTTATTCTTGCAGTGTTCTATGGGTTTTTAATTCTATTTACTTCATACGTGAACAAAAGCCTCGAAATACTGAACCGGATGATGATTATCTTGCATACATCGAAAAAGTCATTGGATGGGGGAAAAACTTTGTGGTGAATTCACCTTGAGATTAAGTAATTGTTTGAATAGGCCCTGGGAAAATTTGTAACCCGACGTTCTAGTGTTAATTATAATTAATCATTATTTTCTGATCAATTTCGATAAAAGGGATTTTTTTAATTCTTGTGAGACTCGTGGTTTTTTTAATCGCATTACCAGGATAAATTTTTGCATAAATTTCTCTCGTAGGGGCGCAGCATTTCTCTACTTATTAATATGATTTTTTTGCTACCGGCGTTAGCAAAAGTTTTTTACTTGTAACAAGAAAATTTCACTCGTTAGAAAAAAAAATTCATTGTCGGTTCAACTTTTCATTTGCGACCGTGAGTAAATTTTTAATGCAACAAATTATTTGTGGGGAGGGAGGGGGGGGACAAAAAACAGTTAGCTAGAGTTAACGATTTGTTTTTAGCGCTCTGTGCTATTTGTAAAATGTCGAGTTTTACGAGGACTTAAAATAGATGCCACTGCGCGGTATTCAGCCCTCCATTTCGCGAATTTATCTGTTGAATGTTCATCCGGTTGAACGAGCTCAAATCAATGAGTTATGAGGATTTGCAGTGATCATTATGTATTGGAAATAGTGCAAAATGGATTGAATCATTCAGTGACTGAAGAACCAGATAATCTATTTCCATTACTTCACCTGAATTTTCGAATTTCATCATTTAATTATTAAATTTTAATGAATTTCCATGTACTTAAGACTTAATTCGCACTACTATATCTACATCAAATGCCGCCCATCACACGAAAGTAATTACAAACTTTTTCATAACTCAGCACTTTCATTCGTTCCAGTTTCTGCGATAATAACCGATTTATTAAAACACACCTGCATAAGAATTCACTCTATCCCCTGTGTGCTGTAATTAATCGATAATCAGCTGAATCGAAGGAGCCAGTGGAGTGTAAAGAAGTTTGTCGAAAAATCAGTCAAAAAGAATGTAGAAAGATGATCCTGAGGAAGATGGGGGAATGGTTTTGGACCTCTTACGCCAACCACAAGTGAAAGTTTACCAAGTAGGACGCGCGTCTCGAATCCCAACCGTGTTTGAACGTTCGCCAAATGCTCATCACCACGACCGTGTGTCTCTGGCCGTGTACGGCCTTCAGGGCACTCACATGTAACCTTAAGTAAAAGCGAATAACAACTGTCTGATATTCCATCTCTAATCCACTAACCAAAATTCCCAGCTCTTTTTTCGTCTTCTTGACAGCCTTCCGAACAACACAATACCCATATTCCACTCTCTCGAATATCATTAGCATACCAATCCCCATAATAATCATCCATCATCATCACCCAGTGCTCGACCTGCTCGACCAGCTCAACCACTTCAACAAGATACCGAATATTGAACATGTAATGAACAACGGATGACTAACGGATTTCGTTATTCATCTGCATTTGCAGACTTGACATTCCTCCAGTTAATTTTCCAATTTATTTTCTTCATGAATAAAATATCGGATTGAGGTGAATTCCTCAATTATTCTTCATTCAACAAGAGCCGCTCATTCCAGTGTAAATTACATTCAAATGTTATTCCCAATTCTCTCCGATTTTCTTTCAGTTGCCTTTGGCTTGTAAATCTCGGATTCGGCGCGAGTAGTCATGTATACAAGTGCCCGCGGGGCATTCGGTATCGGTGGATTGGCTTTTATGAACGGACTCTTCCTGAACTGGAAAGTATGCACTCTCTCCGGAGGTCAGAACGCCCCGAGGGTATGCCCCATCATTTCAATGCTGTACTTGACCAGAGAATTCCACCTGCCTGCCGACAATAGACTTTTTTCATACAAATTATTCAATTCCCCCGAGTCATTCCTACTACATGCACTATTATCTCGATATATTTCAGGATAAATAGCTTCTGCATGTCAGGAGAAACCAGAGGCAGTTGAAAATCAGCGATTCAGGGATATCACTACCATATAATCCATATAATCCCTGAATGACCGATTGGATTTTTGCAACGTTGACCGGTCAGATTGGTGAAGAACACGATAACCATTCTGCCAGAAATTTCAGTGGCTCCCCAGAGAAAGGTACCTTCCTGCATTAAAAAACCTCCTGCGATATTAGAGAGGAGTCCGTGTCGAGTCAGATGGTAGTGGGAAATGAGGCAGAGGGAGGACATACTTCTGATGCCCGATCGCCACTCAGTTCCCCTGAGTCGCTTGTCCCGACGTCTTCCTACTTTTCAAGTATAACACCCGGGCGTTCAACTCTAATATGTACCTTGGGACACGGTAACGCGTCGCAGCAAAAGACCGGTGGAGTTTTGTCAGTTTAATCTATATAATCTCCTGATACTAGGGTATCGAGCTCAACGTTATGACAATGCGTCTCCTCTCACTGGTAATTTTATCCTTATTTCAACTAAAATCAATTGATAAATATATAAGACACATTTGCATTACTCCCATTACCTCATTTACCTCACTTTCATTAATCAAATTAACGTCTTGATAATAATTATGATAATCATCAAATTTTCAAGTTTCTAATCAGCTCAATAACTTATTTAACTGAATACTCTAGTGTTATATTATCCAATAGCTTAATGATAACTCCTGAAAAAGTGGCCTCGCCATATTCGGTTGAATCCTGCATCAGTAAATCCATGTACGATGTCTAACCGCTCGCAACGCAGATGGAATACCAAGTAGTGAATTTCTTATCCCGTTGCAAGTTTTCTTTATTAACGGGGTCACATGGAATCGAGTCAGATCGCATAACATCAATTAACTCGTCTGAGAAAACCAGATCGATTGAATTCACCGTATTTTACGCGATTTTTCCCAGATATTGGTACTGTCGGCGATTCTGCTGGCCTCGACAGCGAACGACGCAGCGAACAGCCGAGACAAACGCCAGCAATTATCGTATCATCCGCGACGAGTGGGTAAACCACCGCCTTATGCAGTGCAAATGAATCCACCGGTGCGATACTCTCAGCGGGATCCCTTGTACAATCCCCTGGCGAGTGCCAAGAGTGATGACTTCATCTACGACGAGCCTCACCACCACAACCCCTACAGCTCAGAGCCCGAGCCAATAATTGAAATAATCATCAAGGAGTCCAATGAGTCACTTCCTACCCCCGTGCCTCCATCTCATACCCCCGTGAGACCGACAAAGGAACCGATCCAGGTATTTTACGTGAAATACGAGAAGAAGGACCAGGCTGATGGAAAATCCAAGGTCATTTACGATACACCAGTGCCAGCATTGAATCCCCACGAGGAACACGAGGTGATAAAACCAGAGGGCCAGGGTTACGACAATGAGCCGGTGTCTCATGTAACCCCAGTACCGGTCAACGAACCGACAACGACTCTTCGTGCTATCATTCGACCGGAGAGTGAGTCTTATCACGCAGGTGGCAGTGGAATTCGGGTGACATTTGGTACGGAACAGTTGCCACCGAATAGCCACAGCAAGCGGAGTGATTTGGAGAGCCAGACAAAAGCTGCACCACCCTCGCCGCTACCAACGTCTTCGAGAAAGCAACACGGTCCCTATCCCCCGCCACCGCCAAGTCCTCACCGGGTACCACCAGCATTTCCCCAACAGAGAATTGTTAATTCTTTTTCATCGCAACAGTTGCCCCAGAATTATCCGCTTCACCAACAGTTTCAGGGGCCACCGCAGAGGTATCAAAGACCTGCCATAACTATTCAGGGTCTGCCTGAGCTGCAGCAACGGCTGCCATTCCAGACATTCAATCAGCCGCATCGAGTTGCCATCAGCCATCCGCAGCAGCCGGGTTTTCCACCCGCGGTATCTGTGTCACATCAGAGTGTCAACTTGCAAAATCAATCGCCTCTCCATTTTTTACCCCAATCCAGTTTCGTTGATCAGAATTATCACCAGCAGCAGGTGCAGCTGTACAGACAACAGGAGGAGGAGAAACAGAGATATCACCAGGACCAGAGGAGACAGCAGGAGTCGCAGAGACATCAAGAGCTGCAGAGACATCAAGATTTGCAGAGACAGCAGGAGCAGCAGAGGCAGCAGGAGCAGCAGAGGCAGCAGGAGCTTCAGAAGCAGCAGGAGCTTCAGAAGCAGCAGGAGTTGCAGAAGCAGCAGGAGTTGCAGAGGCAGAAGGAGTACCAGAGGTTCAAGCAGGAGAATAAAATTCGTGAGCAACATCAGTTTAATCAATCCCCAAATTTCCCACAAAATCATCAGATAGTAGCGAACAATCGAGCGCAATCGCAACACCATCGTGAGGTGGAGAAACAGAGTGAAATTTTGAAAGCAGTGCCGAAATTGGAGCAGCATTATGCCATTAGAGAGAATCCACATCACCCCGGGCCCTTCCCACCCAATAGTCAACCGGTGTCACTGCAATTCTCACCGAATACTCAGAATAACTTTGTCCAACACACGCAACAGTTAAATAATGGAAATTTCCCATCGAGCACGGTTTCGCCGTTGAGCCAGACACCGAGTTCGTTGAGACAGGGAAGTCAGCAGTTTTTCTCCCAGAATCTTGGGCAGGCTCAGTACCAGCAGCCTCTGGCGTCAGTGTGGGGTCGGCCAGTGTTCAAGGACAAGCAGAAGATTTACGCAACCCCAGTGACCCACACGACACCCCAGCCGAGACCGATCCAGAGGACAAGCCCTACTAGAGCCCCAACGACCACAACTACCACAACTACCACTACTGAAGCTCCTACCACCCCGAAGAACGAAGCCAGGATCAAAGAGAATATTGCCAATCTACCTGACGAAGTGCCTGACGATATCAGACAACAGCTCCTAAGCTCTGGAATTCTCGGTAATGCCGATATCCAGGTACTGGATTACGATAAAGTCGGTGGTATAAACATCGAGAATCTTCCACCGGAGGCACTCGCCAATTTCTACGGTGCCGGTGGTGGTGGTGTTGTCTCAGCTAGCGAACCAGTACCATCAATCACGAAATACCAAAAAACAAGTGGAGCAGGGTTAATACCCAAGAAGGCAATGAGCAAAGTTGAACAGGCAACACTGAAGCCCGGAGGTGTAGAAATGAAAGTAGTACGATTCGACCCAAATTCAGCGCAAGGCCAAGCACTAGCTGATCAGCACATACGCGATGATGCGACCCACCTGAAACCGGTAACTGTGGGATCGAGAAGCGATGGACAGTACAATCGCTATTTACCATTAAAAGTGAGCGGCACATCCTTTCCGATTCCCGATGTACCGGAATTGAAGGATCGCAAGATATCCAGCGTCGTTGTACTTGCACCGGTAGATCACAGTGGTGATGAGAAAGAATTTAATAGACAGGAGAGGAAATTGGGTGAACCTGTGCCAGTGAAATTTTTAGCTGGTGACACGTTGAAACAACTCATTAAAAAACCCAATGCTGATAATTATAAAAAATGGTTGGAGCAGGAGAGAAGGACCGAGCCGCAAAAGCAGTCTGTCGTTCTTCTGGTAACGACGTAAGATTTCATTATTTTCTCACGTTCTTTGTTAATGTTTGAATTAATTTTCTCAGCTACTTGAATCATTAACTTGGGCCTTTCATCTCGTTCGACTCTTTACGGTAGTTTTGTACAATTAATCTCATTTGCAGACCTAGAAATCAGCAGGACGGGAATAAAGAGATTTTCATGTACGATGTGACAACGCAAACTGTCAGCAAACTCTCCGGTGATTTGTCGTCGGCTTTCGTTGATGCTGCTGAGAGCAATGCCGACAGTCATGATAGCATTGACGATGCATCCTTTACGCATTGAGACTACAGCTGGAGGATGAAGGGAGTGAAAACGGTTGAGAGATTGAACAGGAAGGAATAAAATAGAGTCTGTTCACCGGAATTCAATTGAACGGCTTAATGAATGCTATTTTGCCCGCCAAGGCTTTGACTCTGCGTTGCACGACGATCGAGCGGACACTTGTGAAATGATCTTTTGTATTCATTTTCTTACTTATTCGAGTGGTGAATGGATGAGCGGTTGATTTAATTAACCGAACGAGCAGGCTGTCTCCTACGACGCGTGTTATGTAGATATTTCCTCTTATTATTATGTATATATCCTACGCCTTTTTATACCTTTTGTACTTATATAAACTTAAATAAAGACTATTTTTTCGTAACTATTTGTTTGTTCCTGTCATAATATAATTATCTACCGAGAAAATACCACGGAGAAGTCTAAATTATAGTTTACCTTTTCAGTAGTTCAATAATGACCTACAATCCTGGAATAATGAATAGAATTATGGAACACATTTACACTTCACAGCGAGAAATCTCTCTTCTTTTTTTTTAATGAAACCAAATTGGATAGAAATGTAAATGTAATATCTTCTAATGGTATTCAGAACGAAAGTTAATTTGAAAGGAATCAGAAATGTGTCATTTCCCATCCCAAAAATTTCATCAGTTGAATTAATGATGTTCTCTAACTTCTGAATTGTCGTTTAAACACCGGAAGCAGATGGCGCGTCCACCCCTTCATTGAGGACTCACCCTAACTCTTCGTCAAATCCGAGTTTCTCCGAGATGAGCCGAATCCACTCAATAACGTCACGACGTACAGAATAAAGATAAAACAGCCAAAAAACTCGAGACAATTATTTAGTGCGTGATACGTGTGAATATTAGATTCAAGTTAATAAATTGTTTTTAGAAAAATGTCTTACGCTTATCTATTCAAGTACATAATAATCGGAGATACAGGTAATTACGTGATTATTTACAACTGTGCGTGAGTTTATAGCAGTGATTGAAGTATGCATTTTCTATTACGTTTCCGTGACAGCTATGTTTTCTTTTCCCTTCAGCTGTTAGCATTTTTTCGAAACTATCTATCCTCTTCATGCTCGGATTATTCCAATATCATTGCCTTTGTGTGGGTAAACAGTCGGATTTCGATCTGATATGATGCGTACTGCTTCAGGATATTTATTTCAATGGTTGAAAGTAACTTTTCCTTATTTTTGTCGAGAGATAGTATCAGCTATTGTTTAGTGAAGTAGAATGTTTCATGCTAGATGGAACTCACAATGGCAAGGATTATTGGATCTTTAATTATCTCAGTGTGGAGATGAGGATTTATGGACGTGGGATTTATGCTTTTTGTATTTGACACTTGTGATGCATTGGAGAGGTAGTATCGATCTGCTAGGCTCATGTACCCTATTTATTGCTACAGGAGTTGGGAAATCATGCCTGCTGCTACAGTTCACTGATAAACGATTTCAACCCGTTCATGATTTGACTATTGGTGTCGAATTTGGCGCTCGTATGATCACCATCGATGGAAAACAGATTAAATTGCAGATATGGGATACGGTAATGAGATTGTTTCAGGGGTTGTTGGTATCTCGTCCTTGTGTTATCTAAGGTGGAAATTTGTTTAACAGGCGGGTCAAGAGGCTTTTCGCTCAATAACAAGGTCCTACTATCGAGGAGCTGCTGGGGCACTTCTTGTTTATGACATCACTCGCAGGGAAACATTCAATCACTTGACAACGTGGCTCGAGGATGCTCGACAACACTCAAACTCCAATATGGTCATAATGCTGATTGGCAATAAGAGTGATTTGGATGCTAGGAGGGAAGTCAGGAGGGAGGAGGGCGAGGCTTTTGCACGAGAGCATGGGCTCGTGTTCATGGAGACGAGCGCCAAAACTGCTGCCAATGTTGAAGAGGCGTTTATCAATACTGCTAAGGAAATTTACGAGAAAATTCAGGAGGGCGTCTTTGACATCAATAATGAGGTTTGTATTACATGTCGGACTTTAATTTACCATTTTGGGAAACATCGATTTGGGGGTGGAGGATTGAAGCGCGATTGGCAATATTGTTGCGGTAATGTGGTTGCGCTCAAAGGACGGGGAGATGAGCTTCTCTCAGGAAATTAGGGTGTGATTGAAGGAATTGGTGGAACTGAATTTGACCTTGGCTCTGTTTAAAATGCGAAATGTTCAAAACATTCAATTCGTTAGAATCTCATACTGCTTTAGGAATGAATTTTTCAATCCATTTTCTCGATTCTATAAAAGATTAATTAGGGGGTTGCAAGTGAACTCTTTCTATCAATTTCGAAAACATTGGATGACGTAATTTTTCTACATATATATCAGTAGTTCAATTAAATTTTATAAATGTTTCTCGTTCATTTTGCTGGCAGAATGGAGCGATTAAAAAAAAATCCCCTGAATTTGTGAATAATTAACAATCTAGCTGTGAATGTACTCAATCCCCTGACCAAGTTCGTTCCCGGAAACAACTAATGAGTATGATAAGATGTTATTCTTTTCTCTGCTGACACGGTTTCAAAGTCCCTTCGGACACCCATTATTTTCACTTCGGTTTCCATTATTTTTATAAGGCTCCCCCTCCGAATTGCGTATCGAATTTTCAACGAAAAATAGGTCAAGTCATGTACCTTGTGGTATGAAAATTGCGGGAAAACCGAGCGCAAATCCCTTTATTGCTGGTTTCTTACGTGAAATTCTTTAGATAGTTCTTTTGCAAGTTCATGTCGACTCGACAAAGTATCTATTTAAAATAACTTGAGACTTTTAGTATTCCTCTCTGCACTTCTCATAATACGATTCAACTGTTGGTTCCATAATTTAGAAGCTTTATCACACTAATTATTTAAATTAGTTCCAGAGAATCCTCGAATGAGAAACTATCCAGCCAGTTCATTTAACTTTACGAGTATAATCCCTCCAAATTCTTTCCGACTCAATTAAAAAAAGAGGTTTGATCGTTTGGTGGAGAAATTAATTACAAGTTTAAATAAAAGAAGTTCATTGCAAGCTATCCACTTTGTCTATACAGTCGGTCTCTGTTATAGTTGCGTGCATGGGGCCATAGGGGATGCGAATTCTGAGAATTCAACTATGTGCAATCGTAAACTGAATTTTTTCATAACAAATTCGAATACGAGAGAAATTATTTTTCGGCTTTATTTTGCCCGGAATTCAACTCCTTACCGAACGAAACAATGTATTGTTTACATCTTGGAGCCCGGGATAGTAGATCTGAGGAATCGAAAGATACGCGAAAACATTAAGGAAAGCCTCGTTATTAAAAAGGGGGTCTTGAAACTATGCATAAAAATTTCTTCCCCAGGATAAAAAAAAATGTATTATAACTGTTTACAGGAGAGTGAGCACTAAGACTCTATGTAGAAGTTGTTCGAAACTCTTCTCTATCCAACTTCATCATTTTTCCTTGTACAAATCCTATAAAAACACTTATCAATATTTTTATGCGAATAAAACCATGGAAGCTGCTTTAATAATGATTGAAATAACATGAGAGGAGGATCTTAACGATGTGATTACTTTATTTCAAAGGCAAATGGAATAAAAATTGGACCTCAGCATTCGCCAACCAGTCCCGGTGGTCTCTCAGGTACTGGAGGCCAGGGTAGTGCACAAGGTGGTGGCTGCTGCTAGGGGCTGGGGGTTACCTGTCCGCCCCTTCATCCAACTCCAATATAAACTAATCATTCCTGCTCCACCAAACAACTACATGGATTTCCAAAAATTGGAAGAAGAATTTTTAATTTACCAGAAATGAAGGCGAAGACCATCGTGTCACGAGAACTCATTGTCGCGTTCAGGTAACGGGCGGCAACTATTTATTCATTTAATAAATGATTAAAGTCGAATTTTCTCATAGTGAAATATGTAATCCTGTGGGTCTGAGATTTGTATATACGAATTTTCCAAGCAAAATTCAATCTAATGCTTTCTGGTAGAATGTCTTGGGTTGTCAAAGAAAAGTCGAATTATTTGGGCTGTGGGAGGGCTGCAATTCAATTAGTCATCACAAAATCAAAAAAAAAACAATTGTTGGAGGAGGGAGCATCAACTTAGTTGAGCAGGAATGTCTATCACTCGTCCACCTAACAAAGCGACACTATGTATATGTATGTGTACCTAAACGAGGAAAACAAAGCGATGAAAATAATTATGAATTTCTCGTGGTATTTTAAGTTGTCAATCATCATTTAGCTTGAACAAGTGTAATCCAATTTGACGTTTTTGTTTATAAATAGAGAATAAATGCCTAACATCATTATCGTATTACTATCTGAGACTTGAGTTCAGGGCTGGAATTAAATTTATGTACATTTTAACTGGACAAAAACCATTTGCTTGTTCTACTCTCTTCGTATTCTTATTTTTCATTACAATCCCCCGATCTGTGGGGTATCTTTGCTGAAAGGGAAGTGATGTAATTTTTTTAGGGATTTTCAGGGAAATCTACTCGAGCTGTAATAATTTACTGCGCATATTGATTGTATTGCTTTCAACTACTAGTCAAATTAAATTAGAATCTAAGTGCATTTCTCTGTCACATTCGAATCATATGAGGCATCATTCTGAGATTAAAATAAAAAAAAATGAATAAGGAAAACCTACCGGAAAAAACCAACTTGCTTATAAACAAAACAATTATACCATGACTACTTTCACCAAAGACACCCTGTAATTTGATATATACTTATATATTTCATGTAAATTGATTTAATATATGTATACATGAACAAATAGAATTTTAATGATTATTTTTTCCTGTTTCCGGTGAACATCATAATTTCAATAGAATTACAGAAGCAGCGCAAATATTGCGAAAATCAGAGGGATAAAAATGTATCAACTTATAATTTCTGGTGAATGCTCTCCACCCACTCCATCTCATAATTAACAAGTTGTATCGAATAAAATCAATAATCAATAATTAGTTTGCACTGCACTGCACGCGCCCCAATTACTGCCTCTCGAATTAAAAAATCTCCTTTTTTCCTCATTTAAAATGACAAGTGTCTGCCGCTACAGTCAAAGTGTTGACGTCAACGCCTAGGTGACGCAGTTCCATCCGGATACAGCTGATTTATCAAAGGCGCATTATCCCACTGGTTATATTTTCCAGTGAGATGTGATTTTTATAACTTAAGGATCATTAAAAAATAAATAAAAACATTCGAATGAAGTTTGATCGAGGAAGTTTATCCGGCTTTTCTGGGGGATTTTTTTTGTAGGACTTATCAATTACGTGGGATTATCAAACACTCCTAGACATCGTGTGTCAATCGAGACGCTGTTAGACGCCATGATGGTAGGTGGAACTTGTTATCACTTCATCCTGGCCGGCTGTGTTTTCCACGTTAACATTTAGCTCTGAGAACTCCGTAAATTCTCGGGAGTGAAGTTTAAAAATTGCTGAAGGTTTCTATTCAACTTAAAATGTTGCAGGACGGTATATGTGATAACGCTGATATCCTCAATAGTGCACCGCCGAAGAAGGTAGATCAGTTAAATCAAATTATTCTGACAATTAAAATGTATTATTCAGCTGTGTCAGAATAAATTAAGGATTCTATCGAACACTTGAGGATTTGATTGTTTTTATTAAAGTTTATGGAAGGAATCAATTCTGCTCATCTACTTTTAGGTTATCCAGGCGGATAATATTGACCTGTCAGATAAGTCACTGCAGGTGGATATATCAGATGCACTGAGTGAAAAGGATAAAGTCAAATTCACGGTGCATACGAAAACGACTTTACCTAATTTTCAAAAATCTGAGTGTCTGGTTGTTAGGCAGCATGAAGAGTTTGTCTGGCTGCATGATAGATTCGAGGAAAGCGAGGAATATGCTGGATACATCGTAAAGCTTTTTTTATGTTACATAAATCATGGAGTTGAAGTTAATTTCAGGTTACCCTGCTTTTCACTTTGTCATCCACTTTTCGTTTAGATTCCTCCGTGTCCACCAAGGCCGGACTTTGATGCTTCCCGTGAGAAACTGCAGAAGCTTGGCGAGGGCGAGGGCACCATGACAAGAGAAGAATTCTCGAAAATGAAGCAAGAGCTTGAAGCGTGAGTTCATATTTTTAAACTGGACGGGATGCCACGTTTTATGAGACACATTGAACGTAATATTATTTCTTATCGGGTTTTAACCAATCTACTTTATAATTCCATTACTTCCACTGGGAGTTTATTTCGGACTTAATTTATCAATGTATTTGCATATTTTGCCATGTAGATGATAAAAGAATGTTCGGAGGCGTCGGTAATATTGAAAAAAGTAAAAGCAAAAAAAATCCTATCGGCTCGGGGGCCTGATATATTATTTATTTAATATCATTGATGCTGTACGTTTAACGAAAGTTAATAGTTGTTTAATGAAAAAAATCGATTCTAGAGTGCTTACCTCTAAAATCGATACTAATTCACGAAACATCTGAATATTAACATAATTTGCATAATTTGTAATTAGTGAATATCTGGCGACATTCAAAAAAACTGTGGCCATGCACGAGATGTTCCTAACCAGATTGGCACACCACCCAGTCTTTCGAAATGATGACTATCTCCGAGTATTTCTGGAGTACGACCAGGATCTCTGTGTCCGCGGGAAAAACCGAATCGAAATGTTTGGAGGTCTGGTAAAATCTTTCTCGAAGACAACCGACGAATATTATCTGTCAGCCACCGTCAAAGACGTCAACGACTTCTTCGACCAAGAGATGATATTTCTTCAGCACTACCACAGTAACTTGAAAGAGGCGACCAGTCGATCCGACCGTCAAACGCTGAAACACAAGGACGTGGCCGACTCCTACATCAAGATATCAACGAATTTACTGCAACTAGCAACCACCGACTCGGGAAAACTCGAGAGATTTCTCACTAAAATTGCTGAGACCTTCGAGAAATTGCGCGTAAGCATTTTATCTTCTTCCACAAAGTACGTAATTCATTAACGTTGCAAATTTAATAATTCGAAACTTTGGCATTTGCTCGTGAAGAAAATAGAGGGTCGTGTTGCCTCTGATGAGGATCTCAAATTATCAGACACTCTTCGTTATTATATGCGAGATACAGCTGCGGCCAAACGACTGCTCTTCAGGAGATTAAAAGCGCTCCACACCTACGAAACTGCGAATCGCACTCTAGAAAAAGCTCGAGCTCGTAACAAGGATGTCCATGCGGTAAGTTTTAATCAACAGATACTCGTTACATTGAAAAATTTATTTTTTAAATGAGCATATTTTACACTAAAACAGCATAATCTCGATAAAATAAATCCCCAAGTTAATCATTTTTAATATTAATCCATATTCAACTCATTTACTTTGCTACTGAATTATACAATGAAAATTCGAATTGAAAAATGGCACATTAAAATTTCTATAGACAAGGTCTTACCACAATGCACCAACTGTATAAGAGCGTGAAGGAATCCCATTGTGTGGAATAAATTATTTTCTCCAGAAAATGTTGTTCGTGTTTAGTATGCCCGAGAGTGTAAATAACACTTTAAGAACATTTTATTTGTTGTGCATGACTCATCACACTAACATGACATTCTGCAATACGAGAGTTCATTTACTGGGCAGAAAATAGTACTTAATGAAATAATAATAATGAATACTGTCAATTTATTAATCAAATTTGTTGCGGCTCCTTCAGGCGCTGGAGGTTGCAGAGGTGTGTGTGTTATTATTTTTCTGTCACTGTTATATAACAAAGAATATAACCAATTGCACTTTGCGGATAGCTGTCACATTATGCTAATGCTATTACGATGCACTAAATCATTTGTTTTGCGTTCATTACCCATGATCAATATACACTGCATGCATAATGTATTTGAATATGCATTAGTGGAGTATGAAAATTTGCATGTCACTCAACAAATATAATTGTATTGATATCGCTTGTTTTAAATTTAGGCTGAGAAAGCACAAACCGAGGCTTGTGAGAAATTCGAGCAGATGTCAGATAAAGGGAAAGAAGGTTTGTCATCACTTTGTCACGACTCGACGAATTTAAAACGGTATTGTATTGATTTACCCGAAACTCGTATATCATTGTTGCGTTAATTTTTCAGAGCTGACGGATTTTATGACGCGGAGAATAGCTGCCTTCCGTAAAAATTTAATCGAATTAACTGAATTGGAAATTAAGCATGCCAAGGTATTGAGTTAAGGAAAAATGTTTAACGATCGCATACGATGTCATTAATGTTTTATGGGTTTCAACAATTTATTTCTTCATCCAGGCTCACGCTGATATGCTCAAGAAATGTCTCCTCTTCCTTCGAGAAGAGTGATTCAGTCTCCCGACAATCCTGTGAAAAATATTAATGAGGATGATAATGGAGATGACGAGGAGGTGGATAACTCGGGTGAGGCACTGGTGGTGCGTTTATTCAACACGATATGTACAATATATTTTCTGTTACTTGCAATGTCGATTCATAATTAAATGAATAATGCCGAAACGAAGGGATTTGCAGCAGCAAAGTGACTTTTTTACGAAGTAGAATTTCTAACAAGGATATGCAGATGGCTAAGAATTTGCTAGTACAGTTAACAGCAAAGTGCTTTAATAACGAAAGTACGATTTAACTACGAAAATTAAATAATTGTTAAGAGTGTAATCTCTTTTTTTGCATTATTGATACGAATTTGTATGAAAATATAATTCCACTAGGACGTTCTAAGATGATATCTGCATAGTGTTTAAGATTATTCTTCATCCATATTATATCATTATGTTATTCTCTTTCTTTTTTTATCTAGGACTCTTTATATTATTGATAAAGAGGATATATATGAATATATGTTATGTACATCATACAAAATTATACGCTGTATTGTAATAAAGACCAATGGTAGAGTATGACGTAATGTATTTATTTATTATATTACTGATGGAATGGGTGAAGGGCGAGGTGAATTGATGATTTTTATCTCGATTTCGTACATTTTTATTGAATTGAATGGTTTTTTTTCTATCATACATGATTGCAGACATATACTGAGAAATGTTTTTTTTTGCTTTTCTTTTCTTTTCTTTAAGTTCCGTAAGGATGTTTATTTGTTTGAGAATTAATCTGAAATTCCACCATAATAATACCATATATTTTCCACCCAGTCTTTAAAAGAACGTCTCAGGACATTGGCTCAAATTCCTTCACTCATTTTCTCACTCGAATAACGAAGTTATGCCACTGGACATTATTTCTCGATAGGGGCCAATTGTTCATCATTTTTTTTCTCTTATTATTAACAGATTCTATGTATATTCTACATATAATTGTGCACAGGCGGCCAAGTTTATCAGGATAGAAGATAGACACAAACGCCTGTACACCCTGCAATTGTCTTTAAATTCAATAATTGCAATTTCTCTTCCATAATTTGTATTGCTTTTCATTCTCCAAAAGGGAAAAATTAATCGAAGGAATTTTTAATGGAGAATTAGAAATCAAATGTTTGTCTAAGTATGAAGAGTCATTTAGCAGTGGGTGAAATCAAAACTTGAGGATGAAATGGATTTTCTTGTGTATATTTGAAAAGGAAATTTGTGCCCATAGCAATTTCCAAATGCACCCATAGGCGCTCTTATCTGGCGTTTACTCACATTTTGAGAAAAAAATTGTTGTGACTCTTTGTAATTCCTCGACAAATATTTTTTAATCGAATTCAGTATCGAATCAACTTCTCCCAACTCCGAATAAAGCTTTTCTGTGGTCATCGTATCAGTCATTCAGGTTTCTTTTTTTTTCATTAAAATTTCTCGCTTAATTTATGTACAATTTGTTCAGCCCAGTTATTTTTACGATAAATAATTATATTGGCTCGATGATAGACGATTTATATCACTCCCTTGTACTTTCGGTAACTTCAATTATCAAGATTAAAACATAACAAGATAAATCCACTTTTACTCTGCTCCTATACAACAATCGTTGAGTCCCATATTTTTTTGCAATTCAATTTTGTTTCTCCCTCCATCAATATATCATGTATTTCCTCTGTTTTCCATCTGTCATGATCCAAACACTGGCACTCTAAATAATAATCAACAGTAATTATATGACAAAACATCTTAAAACAATAAGGATTCGATAAAATTTACAATTTCAAATATCAATGGCATTTCTCTATTTTCGGTGGCCCACTTCATATCCTCATCTTTCATTCCTTACCCATTTTTCTTATAATAAAATTTCTTATCACTGAAATACCCGCGAAGTATATAATACATATAGAATGGAATGATGTGAACGGAAGCGGATGTTTTCTTAAGCAAAAAAAAAACCTCTTCTTTACTGGGTCAGTGTATTGTTCATTTCTTCATAGCTCCCCATTATTCTCTCAATCGAGCTGATAAAAGTTGATCCAATCCTCCCAGCCTTTTCCCTCAACAATCATGTCTATATCTCCCTCGGAATACTTAAAATTAAATTGTTTTTCCTCTCTGAAGACGAATATTTTCCCCAATTCAATTGCTAAAATGATTACACACTTGAAGACGGATCCGGCCATGTGACATCGCAGTTTCAAAACTAACTATTTAATAGCAATTTTTTTCTCATTTTCGGCGTTAATGTGTTCGTGAGTTATTACAAAATTCCTGTGGAAGCCACTCTGATAATTCACTGTATTTCCGCAGTAAATCCTCAATTGTTCCATTTTCTTGCCAGTTTAAATTCCTAAATTGACTTTTATTAATAATTCGAGTACTATCACTATTAATTAATCATTGTTCCACATGAATAAATCATTGTCCCATGAGCCGAGAACCCTTTCCTTCCCATAAAATCCTGGGTCATGAGAAATTTTAACTCTACGTTATATCCTTGGGCATTTGAAATTTACTGAGGATCGCACAAACGAAAGGCTTTATTAATAATAAAAAATACCACTGGAGTCATTACGTAAATTATTTCATAAAACATTCAGTACTGACCGCATGGACACTACGAATATCAAATAATCGTTTCCATTTTGAAAATTTATTATTGAACAGTCGATTAATTTACTATGATAGATTACAAGAATTCGGGGTAGCGGTATCAAATCAATTGACGATGTCAACATCCATCCAGTCCTTCGTGCCAATCTCTTCAATTATTGAAACGTTTACCAGCTGAGATTTTTATTATGCGGACTGGACTCATTACTCAATCAGAGTTACACTCCGTTTATTATCGATTCAGAAATGTCATTGCATTGAATAATTGTAAGCACCAAAATATCGCTCATTTCCACAATCCAGTGACAATCGTCAAATTCTTCGTAAATCGATACCCCCGATTTCGCAATGAAATAACGACCAAAAATTACACCAGAAAATTGAGTTCACTCTGAAATTTTCATTGAAATAATTGATGATGATGGATTTCAATTTATTTTTCAATATTTATTTACATGAATTTTTGTGTATTCCCCCCACTTCACTTGAACTCTATTCCAATCACTTAAACACGGAGTACTCCATTATTTACCGTCGATAGTCCTACAAAAAACATTGTCACGAGTTCGCTGTTATAATATTCTCCTCATAATCGTAAAATTAATGGAAAATATTCGAGTGTCATGTACTCGAGATTCGGGGATTATCTATAAAGTTATTTATGATCAAAAAAACGAATTAATGACAGTAATGGACATTGTGTGTTTTGTTTTATTCGAATGAAAATGCTTATCGCGCTAAAACAGCGCCAGTGACAATGAGCGCCAGTATCAAACTACCCGATGTCCTCTCTCCACTGGACGTTTTACGGCGCTGAATAGCCGCCATTTTATCGCCTGTGGAATAATAAAAACAACTAACGATAAATAAAAAAGGTAGATGAGAGACAGAGAGAGAGAGAGAGAAAGAGTAAAAACACGATAAAAAAAAATGCCTACGGGACAATCAATATTCAATGTCAATTGTCGTTCAATCGAGCGTTAACGCACCGAGCGCCCAATACATATATGTACTGTAAATTGACGAGATTAAAAAGCTACAGGCGAATGATTCTCAATCAAAGTGAACTACAGCTTGACCAAAATAATTATCAATTAGGGGGTAAACTCATGCGAGAATTTCATATCAAGATTAATGGTAGTTTATTAATGAGCTCGAGAGTTCCTAATGAACTGGAGTCCTCGGGTGGTAATCAATTATGTGGACAGATGGACACGTGGAGAGAAGAAATTTATTATTGGGGAAACTTGCCTTCTGTCACGAAGACGTAGATTGAAGCTGGCTTGGTATTTGAGGCTCTGCACGTGTAATTTCCCGTATCCGATTCAACTGCTTGACGAATTGTCAGTCGACTCTGAGTTGGTCCTGGTTCTGTCTGTACACTCACTGTACCGCGCGCAGTATCATAGTTTATCATCCGGTTATTGTGATACCAGAACACATATTGCGGCGGCGTTGGACTCTGTGAATATCAGGCCATGTTTATAGTACATATTTTAGCTGTCACTTTGTCATGCCATTCAGAGAACTCTCATCATTCAGGACTGATGGCTAAAAGGGGATAGCTGTTGGGGTGCGCGGTTGACCGGTGAGCTACTTCTTTTACCGGTATTTTATCGGATTATTGGTAGTGACTACTGGCAAGCAAGCTAATTAATTGCCAGGTTCCAATTGGGGGAGGAGTGATTATTATTTCGAATTTGACGCTAATTAGAAATCTCCACCGAATTAACTGGCGTGGACTAATGTCCGCGATTTATGCTCAGATGAATCTATTCTTTTTCGCGAACAATGAAGCTAACGATGAGAATTAAGAGGGAAGCTGGACCAATCGTTCAGCTGTAATGATGTTTTTTACTTAGTTTTTGGTGTTGGTGTTGATGTTGAGGGTTGTCGATCAATTTCACTGGGAGTTTAGTTAGATTTCAGGACACGTTTCACGAATGTTATTGGGGTTTTTCCACTTTGAGACATACATAAGTATATCTAGGATAGATTTATAGTCTTTCGTATTTGATCTGTTAACTCAGCACCATCTCCCGTCGAGGCTAAATAGATTTTACGCTATTTTCAACAATAATATTTCTACTGGTTTATTCAGTAGAATTTTTCACCACCCAAACACTAGAGGAAACACCACAAATGCAAATATTCACGTACATTTACTTGGATCAAGTAAATTCATTTAGGAGAAGTATTTTTTTGATCATCGCATTTTCCCTGATTTAATAATTCTCTTTTTTGCGTAAATCATATTTTCTGGTTAATTTTTTACTGTTACACTGGAATAGCAAGCCATTTCCAGTATTCAACGAGAATATGACGCATGACGTTGAGCAATAATTACAAGTAAAGGAAAAGTTTTAATTGCTACTGGTTGTTTTGTCATACTGATTATAATTTCTCTGGTCAGTTGCAATATCGTTGTGAAATCGTTTAATATTCACTAGTACATTATAATCCTAAGAGATCATTCTATTTCCGGTTATTTACAAATATCGCGTAGGTCGCGCACAGACTTTATTGAAACACTGTTTCTGTACTGTACTTCAGGTCTTTTGTTGTGGAGGGTGAATTATTTCATGATGAATATGAAACGCTCGGGTTCTTTCGTTATTGTACTGTGCATCTGCTGGGATAACTTCATAATTCAGGGGAACAGGAGGCTCAACTGACGTTTAGCCAAGGGATGATGATTTAACGGAATTTCCTCTGGCATCATATCGTTATATCACTATAGCATACGTAGAATCTCGTATTTTAACTAAATTCCTCGGTTGTCATATGGAGGAAATTATGAAAAGGCAACTTGTTTAATTGTACGAGGGATGATGAAAAACTTTCTATTATCGCTGTTATCATCCTATTCATTATAAATTTCAGTATAAATCATTTCATCATTTTCATTATAAATTTTCACGGTTTTAATGTCCTTGCTCTTTATATAATACGTAATATTGTTGACCTTTTAACCCTTTCAAATATCAATTATACCTTCATGAATATAAAGTCTTTTACTAGGAGATATTTATGAAATAATACCAATACCGGAAGGAACAATTAAATACAGCAATTGAATCTCTTCGCGAGGATATTCGTTATTTTTGTTTTTACTTTAAATAGTTTGAGATTTGGGGCGAGTATTGCCTGTACTGGGAAAAAAATCTTTTTCCAAATATATTTTCATGTGATTAATAAATATATTTGAAAGAAATTTTTTTTTTTGTCAGTGTGATGGATATTTTGGGGTAATGTTCCGGAAATTTGAGGCGAAAATTTCTAGCCGTTAAAATTTATATCGAATGTTTTCCTCCGCGTACCTTGAAAGTGAGTTTACATGTTTTCCCAAAATACGGCGCGGAAATGACTTCGAAATTCGAGGGACTGATATGAAAAATCCAATCAGTTTAATCAGAGTGAGGTAGACCCCTCTGCTGTTCCACTTTCCATCTGATAAAACTAGAACCAAGCATCTTCAATATTCATTGATCAACCACCAGGAAAGTTTGGAGTTGTAACATTGGGTTTTTGATATTTTATAGCGATTCGCATCTATTATTTCTGTAATGGATACCGTGTTTTAGACTATTCCTGTGTGACCGTAGTATTTTCCATCTGTTTAAGAATGAAATTTACGGTTTCGTGAATATGAAAGGCTCGTGTTACTCTTGCCCCAGGACCACATGTATCTGCGAGGTAACTTCATGACTGGACAAGTAAGCCCTGAGTTATTGCTGCACTTGTTCCCGTAATGGCTCAACGGAGTTGGTATTTTTGGGATAAATCGTGTTGAGATGAAGTTTCAAATCAGTCCGCAAGATGCTCCGAGTGGAGTTATCAACGGTTTTAATCATTCAAGTGGATTTGTCAACCGGTAAGTATCCTTCAACTGTACGAACATTCTATATTTATACCGAGAGTCATCAGCGAGATGGATGTAACCTTAAGCCAATTAATAATCAACTCTAGCCATCCGCACCCTGAACTTTACCTTTCCAAATAAACGATCAATATAATGGGAACAACTTCCCCGAGGCACTTTCAACGCCCTACCGAATCAAGTGAAGTGTTTGATTGTGTCTTGCCTGTCCACATCTACCTTGAAACTTCATGAGAAGCCTATCGATTCTGGATATAATAGTGTTAATTGACCCGTAACATTTGGATTGTATCTTTCTCTGTGGTGGCATTTGTCCAGGCATGAATAACATGTGAGACTCTATTATCTGTCGTCTGTCTGAGACCTCAACCCAGTCGACGACTTCTCAATCTCAATCTTCCATTCGTAATTTTTCATAGTCATTATTCAATACGCAAGTTATGGACGTTTTTTCTCAAAAGTTCTGCTTGACGTTGGACTTTTCAAAGAGCTAAGTTGAAATATTCGAGATTCAAAATGAGATTTGCCTTTAATCCAAGTTTCTAACAGTGTGGGGGGCGAAGGACAGTTCATATACAGGGAGAAATTGTTAAGTTCTGGTGTGAAAGCAGCTGAAAGATATTAGACAAGACTTTTGAAAATTTTCATTTGAGACATGGGAAAGTCGCACTTCAGACATACCGAAATTTCGATTCAAGTTGAGACTCAACATGATTTGATTCAATTTCACGTTCATTAAAATCCATCATTAAAACGGATGATGAATGGAAAAAACCCCATTGATTTAAACAGGAATTACATGGAAACTTGATGAATAATGTATTGTTCACAATTCAATGATGATAAAAAATAAAAAAAGACTGAATTTGAGAATGAAAATACATATCGAAGTTAATAATAATATAAAATAATTAATATGCGATAAATTATGTATGCAAATTAAAGTAGAGCATTAAGTAATTTCATGTATAATAAATTTTGGAAATTACAGTTCGAATATCAACATTTCGTGAAGGTGAATTTCCGCCGCTGATTGATCAATCAAACTTGAGAATTGCTTTGAAATAAATGAGGCTCACACGATATCTTTTATAACGACGATAGAACATGATTAAAAAAAGCGAATGTAATATTAAAATATAACGAAGTGAAGGCCAAAATACAAATGATGGAAACGCTGATTAGAAGGCACACAGATATTCTCGAAAAAAGATGATAAATCATACCTTTTCAATTATGCACACCAGACTTATTATAGAGCCCACATCGACATGGTGTTCTTCACTTCCTAGTATAAACGCCTCTGGTATCACGACATTTAAATTCACAAAGTGTGATATTATCCCCGTACTTCTTGATACCTGAAAACGAAAGTTGAAAAAATCTCTATTGTGAGATATTCAAGTGCTTCATAAACCGGATTTGCCTGTCCACTCACTATACCTTTTATCCCTTGTTTATGTTGTAACAAAGGGGATTTTTTATACATCTAATGACAATTACCTGACATTCGTATGTTCCATTGTCTCGTTCTTGTACGTATTTGATTTGCAGCGTCCAGTCGTCCGAGCCCTCCGAATGGAGCGCCTGGAATCGCTCGTCATTCGTGTACGTGAACAATGAGCTCGTCAATACGTGCCAATCACGTCGACGTATCCAGGATATCTGTGTGTTTAAATAAAGTCATATTCAGGCTGGCTTTTCAGGTTCAAAACTCTCAGCGCAGTCTCATTCCATCTCATTGTCATGATAATTATAAGAAATTCAAATGATCCTCAGGAGACAGTCAACTACATCTCCTATTGCAAATCATACGATGCAATTATTTCTATTCACATCTTGAAAATGTTTACCATCATGGACTTGCCACTGGAATTTCGAACAATTAGGCAATTGCCAACTCAAAATTTTTATGCGAAAATCGATGGGAACTGAACTTTCCGTTCAATATTCTATAAAAATTAATAGACGTCTCGAACATACGGCTGAATATATTATTGATTTTATTATCTAAAGTTAATAAACGTTCTCTACGATTTAATACTGAATATTACTGTCTTCAATGAAAATTCCCGTAACTCAGAAGATAAATAAAATAATGAATTAATCCAGTATTTTAATCGAAGTATGGAAAACCTAGACACTTTAGATCGCTCCTCTCGATCCTTTTTGATTTTTCTAAAAAAATCTTGACTAATGTCTCCTGCGACCTACCCTTGGAACCTCCTCCCCCCTCTATTTTAATGAATATACAATATCAAATATACAATCTGTTGGAGTATAGAATATGAAAAAGCTCTTTCTTGAAATATTAATTTGACGAACCACTTCAACTACGATAACCCAAACATTTTTTCTGTCAATAAGGATGAAGCCAATAATTATTCTTTACCTCGGCATCAGAGATGGAACGCTCAGCAAGATGTCTTACTTTACAATGTAAGAATGCTGTACCACCCAGTTGAACAGTGACATTTGAGACAGTGTTATTTTCATTAGCCTCATTAACTCTCTGTAGTTCATCAAGATTATTGTACCACAGTGCTCGCCAATCTGAAGGTATGTTGTAGGGTACACGACGATCTTCAAAATGATAGTTCAATTATTAATATCACTCACTTCAATCCGATTATAATAGTAAGCAAGAAGACAGGTGAATGTTAATCTCGAGTGGATAGTCAAATGGAAATTAAAATTTAATACATAATACCCGGTTTTGAGGATATTTCAACGGAGCGATGGTTTAGGCATGATAAAACGTAAGAAAAAAGATTGATGATGGGGACGAGGTGATGTAATATTGTAATTTACCTTTGTCAAGCGATCGAGCTAATAAAATTGTTGGTAATATCAGAAAGACCATGTACCACGACAGGCGATCCCGCATTGTGATGGTGCACTGGGATTTCCTGGAAGGTAAAAAATCATTACAGTCTGCGGTTACAATGATACTCCCGAGACGTGCATGAAAGCATGATGCGGAGAATATCAATGGATGAGGCAACGTACAGCTTCAATGTATTTGTTATTTATTGGCCTATAAATATCTGCCCTTGTGAGATGGACACATTTTCCTCATCCGGCGATTTTTCATTGTCAGAGCTTTTTTTATTTAACGATTGACAAGGAACCTCGAGGGACACAAGAAAGGCAAAGAACCAGTGAAACATATCGCTCTGTTATTCCTTCATAAGTCAAAAAAACCGCCAATGAGTTACGCTCAATCATCACTCATATGTTAGATTCAGGCGAAATACGGGGGTGGACAAGCCCCTATTTTATCCTATTTTCTCCTATTTTCTCCTATTTTCTCGGTGGTCAAATTCAATATAACAACCTTCCGGAAGTTTGAACACTGTGACAGGTACTAATGTCACTTCATCATAACGCGAATGCTGAGTGATTCTATCGATTGTAACGGGGGAGAATAATCTAAAATAAACGGCGAAGGTGATGGGTATTCGGGTCACAGCTCGAGGACAAAACGTGATATTCGTGGACTTGGTCTGATCTGAATTCAGCCTGAGGAAGTTGGATGCTGTGCGTAAACACCGGATATATTGCAATCGAGAGAGGAAATCCGGTATCAGACGCGACCGATGAGGCTTATTCTCCATGGTGTATAAAAGCGGACGGGTACCAGGGTTAATCATACTTCAGACTATAAATTTTATCTCAGGAAAAGTTGGAGAACAAGGATCAGGGCGGAGAGGTGCTAGTCGAGGGGGAAATGGTGAACCCTCTGAAATCGTAATGGCTGGACTCATGAGAATCATCCGATTAAATTCGTTGCTTTTGACTCCCCCTTCGGAATACCAAACTTGTACTCGGTAAGTGGGGCTTTAATTCCACCGAGCTATCACATTAATACTGGGGTACACGATTTCGAGGGGTTACCACTGTGTGGAAATCTATTTTCCCCGGCAAGTGCAATGATTTCGGGCTATTTTCGAGGGGGTGGATATTATAATGCCTCAAGCTGGAATATCGTGTACCGGATAGATAAGGACGAAATTCAATGAGGGGTGGTGAGGTGTGAGGGGGTAGAAGGGGGTAGAAGGGGATCTGAGGGGGTATGAATTTTGGGGGAACGATCGAAATAATCGGCAAAACGACTCACTTGTCAGGGGCCGTTGGATAGTACACACCGCTCAAAACCGATGTTTAATTGGTAACAGCAAATGTATATGAGTTGCCTTAATTTGTTGACTCTTTTATCCGCTTTACTCTCCTGCTTTTTGGTTTACAGTTCAATGCATTCACACACACACATACACGTTAAGCACAATGTCAACCCTCAAACGAGGGAGTCCACTTGGGGATTCATTTCCCCCACTCTTTTCGTCCTTTTTTTTTTTCTTTCTCCGCGCCCTCACCAACGGCAAATGTTTTTAGCGTGATTTTTTATCCTCCTCTGGGTTAGACTTTTTCTTTTTGCATGTAGCCCGCACAGACACTCGTATCCCACTCCAGTTGTACCGAGGGATTTCAAAAAAAAAACCGAAAAAAAAAAACTCCAACACTTCGATGAGTAGAGTACCAACGCCTGACAACAGGGCGCACACTTGACACACTACTCGACGCGCAATTTTTTCTCTACATTCACCTCGATTTTTTTTTTCTCAATTACTATTTTCGATGACTCCAATAAAATTGAAATAGTTCACAAACTGTCATCACTGGGATGTTGAGTACTGTGTTCCACTTATCACACACTATTTCACCGCGAGTGATTTTATGAGTGAGATGTATCCTGTTTTTAGTATGGAGCTGCGTGGAAAGAAATAAAAATAATAATCAAGAGGAAGCACGTCACGGCGTCTCGTATCCTGTGTATCCTTCGGATTGATCTTTCCACAGTCGTCGAACACCTCGTGTTTCTCCACGATGTCATTCACTCACGCTACCACGTTATTCAATCATCTAGGATCCATCGACAGCGACATTCACCAGCCCAAGGTGGATTCGTTTAAAAAACAAAACAACACCCCTGAATAATACGAGGGAGAACTATCACTCCACCGAACGGCGTTAAACCATCCCAAGATTAATTTGACGGTTTATTTCAATCCGTGAATCATCGATGAATCCGTTGTACACTTTATTGAAACGAGGAACTATTTTTTCGCCTCTCCAAGATGATGATGATGATGATGGGGGCTTACAGTTGGTACCAGCCCTATCCAGGAATCCCTTACCCGGATCACAAACTTTTCCTTCGCTATGGCCCCAAATGCCCCTGCACAGGCGCGAGACGTGTTTCAGAATTTCTGCGAGTAGCGCACAACGAGGGGTTGTCGATTGCGTTTGGTGGGAGACAAGGTAGAGGGTGGAATGGCGAGGGGATGCCGAGGGGTACTAGGAGGGCGCGAGAAAGGTCTATCCACACACAAGGACGATGAGATGGCGACGCTGTGGATGGGGATGTGGATGGGGATGTGGATGGGGGAGCAGGGGTGGCATCAAGGGGGATGAGAGTTAAATGTTGATGCTAGGGGGTGAGAGGAGGGGTGATGGCGCAAGCGTTTTGGCGCACCAACGCATTGATCCCTGGAATTTAGTCGGTGGGAAGGGGCCTGGGGGTGGCAGAGGGATGACAGGGGGATGATGCGAGGGGTAGGCAGAGTTGGGGGGATCATAGCAGAAGAGTAAGACAGAGAGCTAAAATCCAACGGTGATGTTCAACCAGCTAGGAATTCTTTAGTAGAGTTTACTTTGGTTCACCCGACGGGTCTGTGTTGTTCATTCGGCATTTATCAACTCTCGCTTCTAAACCATTGCAGCAACCCACCCTCAGCCCACCTCTCATCCCCATTATGTACATCCACTCCACTACTCTCTTTATCTTGTCGTGAATGAGGGGTGAGACGGGCGGATAGGGGTAACATTACGCCTGACCTTTCTGCGACTCTCATGGAATTTCCAGATTTTCTCTCATCTTTACGGAAATTCCTCCATCATGAGATACGTCTGATGCTATACCAGGAGTAACGACAGGGGGTTATTGAATAGGGGAGATAGTGACGCTGTGGTTTTAGAAGGGTTGAGTATACTCCGGTTGCATCAATCAATGAGATTTGGGAATGGCTCCTTTTTAGCAGTCTGACCCTTTCAGATGGTTGAGAGGATGTACATCTTTAATGGGGATATGGTTGGTTACGGGCGAAAGGCTTTCAGGGATTGGAAACGATTCGGGGATTCTTGAAACTCATGGATGGCCATTGATGATGGAATTTTTTTGGATTGAGATAGGGTGGTGTGGTTATTTGCACGTTGGGTATTGTACCGCGGATTTCCGATTTGTGGCTGTGTTATTGTTTTGGACGATATTGGACGCAAATCGCTGGATGATTGGAATTGATTTTGCACTGCGAAGCGGTGGGAAATAGGAAATTAGATTATCGGTTATTTGAATTTTAGTTTTAAGGGTGCAGAAATGGTTGGCCAACTGTCATCGGGGTTTTTGGTACCAAGGGCAGAGGAAAATCGGGGATTGGCTGAGCGAGAAGCGTCAGCCAATCGTAGCGGGATATTTCGAATCTGCTCAGGCGGGGGATGATCCGATTGGTTTGTAACGTTCGAAATGACGGCCATATTTTCTCTTCAAGACCTAGGCGCAAGTGGCTCGGTCTGGGACGTCTGGGAGCTGAAGTTGAACATCTCTACGATTGTTGAAAATGTTTTCAAGATTAGCCCTTCGTAACGGTAATTATGCATTTGAATTATTGCCTAGAAGTTATTACTAATTGCTCTTTGACTATGTCATATGGATCAATTGAATATTTTCTGTGATTAATTGACTGCTTCATCGTTATTGGTTATGTTTCGTATCAACTTTGTCATTATGTAATGAACGAATTTTTTTGGATGTTTTTTAAGAAATTGAGTAATCAGTAGGGTGTAGTCGAATTTGGGGTTGATTTTCTCTGAATTTCTTTTTGAGTTTTGTGCAATGGTTTGATTTTCTGATGTCTTAAGTTGACTCGTTTACGATGACATCTGATTGCCAATATGGAGGTAGAGGGTCTCATGCTCTTGACAGCCTAGGTAATCGATAGGAATTTATCATTCAAATGTATCATTTTCAGTGGCAACACGTTTGCCAGCTCTGGCACGTGTTCAGAGTTCTGCAGCAGCACCACCTGAACCCCCGAAGAGACTATCACGTCCAATTGATCCCAGTCCAGTGCGCCATGGATTCATTCCAGAGGAATGGTTCCAAGCATTCTACAACAAGACTGGTTACACTGGTGAGAAATTTGATATGACCTCTTTAGGCAATTGATGTTTTCGCGTTGGAAGATTGAAAAGTTCTTTCAATAAATTAATCTTGTTAAAGTCTAATGAAATTTTAAAAATACTTCAAAATGAGAAGAGGGAAGTTATGAAAAGCTAGTTTTGAAAAGTCAACTTTTACTGGGGATTTCTGCACTAGAAAAGACATTTAAATAAATGAAGGACGACGAAATTCTTATTTTATGAAGGGAAAAGGGATAATTGAAACTTCAGAGGCTTCGAAAATATTCATAAATCAGGATCTGATTTTTCATCAATTAATGTTGAGTAATGTCCTGAGATTTGTGGAATATTATTCACCACTCTGGAACTAAATTTTGAAAATTATGCAATAATCGATTAGGAGGAGGTTGAATATTTGAAGATTGAATTGTCACTTGAATTTTAATACTTGAATTAAATAATTCCAGGTCCCTACGCCTTATTCACTGGTGTTACCACGTATCTCGTCTCCAAGGAGTTCTATGTTCTGGAGCACGAGTTTTACACTGGAGTGTCAGTGTTTATCATGTGTGTAGCTATCGTAAAGAAATTCGGTCCACAAGTTGCTACATGGGTCGACGCTAAGATGGATCAGGAAGAGGCGAATATGAATGCAGGGAGGAAAAATGAAATTGTGGCTCATGAGAAGTCCATCGAGCACCTGAAGAACGAGCAGTGGAGAACAGAGGCTCAGGCTTTGATCATGGACGCCAAGAAGGAGAACATCAAGATTCAACTGGAAGCTGAATACAGAGAACGCATCCACAGAGTCTATTCTGAGGTATATAATCACATTAATTAGCAATTCATCCTAATTCATCAGTGGCATTATAATTGTTTTATAACTCAGTCCGTGAGGCAAGGCTTCACCACTACTGCGCGTGAAAGCTAAGCCGTTAGGAACTTCTCTGGCGATTGTGAGTTACAGTCCGATGTGAAGCTGAGGAATGTAAAGACAATCGTAATAATAACAGACATAAACTATTGCTCAAGAAATTCGTTTTCAATTTGGTTGAAATTATAAATGGAGATGCAATATTTAATTTATCTGAAATGTTAATAAATTAATTCCTTGAATCTTTCATCCATATTACTCAGTAAATCGATCTGTATTTTATTCAATTCTTTCCAACTCTGGACATGACTGAATAATTAATCGAGCTATCTTTGTTCTTCTTGGTCCGATTGTCGGAATGATATCAGTCGTCAAAAATAAAAGGAGATTTTTTATCCAATGTTTCAGGTAAAAAAACGCTTGGACTATCAACTCCAAATTGCCAACGTGGAGCGTAGAATGGCCCAGAAACACATGTCCGAATGGATAATAAACAACGTACTGAAGGCAATAACACCGGACCAGGAGAAGGCCGCGCTCCACCAGTGCATTGCCGAACTCCAGGGTCTAGCACCAAAAGCATAAATTGTTACACTTGTAGAAAATATAGAATTGATATGAACATTTATTCACAATTCGATCAAGTCTAGCGATAACGTTTGAACCTCGTCAATCCTCAACCTGTAAAGTTGTAATATTTTCAATCAGTTGGAAGTCGTCCCTATCAGGTCACGAGTAAATCAATAAAGATATTACTGGTCTGGTGATGAAAGCAATATCCTATTTATCTTCATTTTTTTTTCACCAGAAAATATATCCAAGGATAGAGAACTGAATGATGGTGTTTCGAACGGTTAGGGGGCGCAAATGCATCGAAAATTAAATTTGCTAACCAAAAAATGAATACAAGTTAGGGTAACTTGATTATGACGGACAGAGTGAAAATGGAGCTAAAGTATTTCTGTGAAGCACTTCCTAAAATAGTGAGTGATATCGATATGTAGTATATTCGATTACTCTAGAACTTTGTAGTCTAAACTTTATTAAACATTCATCCTAAAAGTTTTCATGTCAATGTAAGAGAATGTCATGTGATAATTTTGTTATTAAAACATTTAAAATACTCGGTTCATCTTCATCGACAGTCAAAAGTACCTACTATAATTCAAAACAATATAAATGTCTTTCACATTGTTTCTCCCATTTTTAGGAACTGCATGCACATTTGAACGGTTCAGTGAGTCCTCAGACACTCAAGAAACTCCAAAAGTTGAAGAGCAATGGAGATAATTCAGCATCCATGCCAGACATGGAAAAGTTTACGACACTAAAAGAGTATAATCGAGGAATATTTTATATTCAGTTCCAGTCACTTAGTAATGCAATCCAAGTAACAATTTTGTACGACCTGTCATAGGTGTTTCCAAATGTTCAATCTGGTACACTCCTTAACTGACACTCCGGAAGCTGTATTTTTAGCGACACATGATGTAATTCAGGAATTTCACGATGATAACGTGATTTATCTCGAGCTGAGAAGCACCCCGAGATCGATAAAGGACCAGATGACAAAGGAAGAGTACATCGAGGCCATCATCAAAGCCATTGAGTACTGCCATTGCAATATTCATTACATTTAGGGCTCACACGGCTTTCTAGATAATGTGAATATTCATGAATTAATTTTTCAGGGCATGTAAATGTAAAACTCCCGGTATTCTGGTTAAATTATTAATCTCAGTGAATAGAAAGGAGGGATTTACCAATGCAGAGGAGAATATTAAATTGGCAGTTAAATATCATCGACAGTACCCAATGATAATTGTGGGTATTGATTTGAGCGGGGATCCAACTGAGGGAGAGGCTTATATTAATCTCTTGCAGAATTGCCGAGATGAAGGATTGAAAATCGCTGCACATTGTGCTGAAGTATGTATGAATTCATTTTATGAATTTTTCTCAACATCAAATCATTTTGGTTTTTGCAAAATAAATGGTAGTTAAATCGTAAAATTTTGTTGACAGGTCCCAAATGAAGAAGAAGTCGTGGATATTTTGAATTTCAAGCCAGACCGACTCGGCCACTGCACAAACATTCATCCCAATTTAAAAGGAACTCAAAAGATCTACAGAATGCTTTTAGATTCTCGCATTCCGGTTGGTAAGAAAATTCTTGATAATTAATGTGTTTTTTCCTCACGTCGATTGTGCCGTACTCAATGATAAATTCTCATTGTAATGCAAAATAACTTATTTCTTTAGAATTGTGTCTGACATCAAATCTGAAATGCAAAACTGTGGCATCCATCACTGAACACCAATTTCCATATTTTTATAAAGAAAAACATCCCGTGTGCATTTCAGTGAGTACAAGAAAATATTTTAATGCGTATGAAGTAATCATTGGATGGCAATTATTTGTTATTGGCAAATTAGATGTTTGAAATTTATGGGAGTTTGTAATAAGTACTCAGCAAGTTATAATTGGAACTCTTACAGACGGACGATAAGGGAGTTTTCAGTACGAGCTTATCGGCTGAGTTTCAGCTAGCTGGTAAAAACTTTGGCCTAGATAACAATGAGCTGAAGAATTTGTCCTTGTCTGCTGTTGAATACTCATTCGCCACGAATGAGGAAAAATGCAAACTGACCGAAAAAATTAAATTGTTCTCTCCTTGTTCAAATACCTGTGATTAAAAATGAAAAAAATAACTCGAATATGTAATTTCTATTTTTCTACTTTGAAATATAATACAAGGCTCAATTACTTTCGATTGTTGTTGTTTTTTTTTATTAATAATCGTGAGACACGTGTACATAGATTTACAGATGATAACTAAGCAGCTACCTTATTCGAGAAAATTGAAAATAAAACCACGGTAATTGAACGTTATCAATCTTCTCGTATCTATTCATTTTTATCATTTCAATGGAGTCATATATTTACACAACATTCATTTTATCGTTATAATTCGCCTCTAACTGCGGTACAATTGCAATTTTTTATGATTAAAATTTCCTCATTTCATCTTATTTTGTCATTTAACTAAGCGCCGGGGGCACTACTGACACACGTACGAGAATAAGTGCCCTAATACCTTCAATAAAATATAAAGAATGCCTGTCAATCGAATCACAATCGAGCATGACAAGAATATTTATATTCATCTATTTAAATATTGCGTTTCACAGCGAATTTCCTTCATACTTCCGTCCATTACCTAAACGTGTCATTTTTTATCTATAAATTATGTCAATTATTCAAGTATCTCAATGAATTGAAAATTATTAAAGGGAAAAGTCAAGTGGACTGCAAACACAGCACCAATTGTCAAACAAATAATTTCAAATTCATTCGAAAAGTTCATCACACGCGTAACAATTCAATCATAATCGAACAAATCACTATATATTTTTAAATAAATTCAATTTTGTAACTAAAATCAATCTTTCCAATAGCCAAAATTCATAATTTCTCGTAATCGATAAAAAGCGGGACTAATTGAGATTCAATTTTACATCGAGCATTAATTCAATACAACGAAAAAATATATTAGTTATAGCGACAATAATACCTAATGATTTTTTTCAAAGAGCAATGCAATGACAATAATTGGTGATGTCGACAATATATAATGTGAGAAATTGTTTCTAGAGTAATTATTCATCATACAACAGTCTTTTTTGGCTAAACTCATCTCGAAAAAGCATCTATCCACAAGAGAGGACTTCCCAGTTGTCTCCCGAAATCATCGAAAATTAACCGAAGAATAAAGAGAGAAAATAAAACAAGAAATTGTAAAAAATTACGCCACCACTTGACAATCATAAAACTACGCAACTTGTTCAAACCTCGCCACTGCCACTGTTATTTATTACACACTAATATCTTACTGTCACTACACACATAATCCTACAATCTATGACTATAAAAAAAAAAGAAAAATAAATTGAAACTGATGCATTTATTTACTTTCCAACTTCAGCAATGAAGTATCGCTTCATTTTCTTCATTTCAACATTTTATTCAAATATCCTTCGAGCATTACATCTACATTACGTGGAGATAATTATATTCTATTTTCGTTTCTTGTGACGCATTTATTTATTTCATCGCAACGAGAAAATTCATCATATTTTTCCTCACATGTCCCTTCCCTATCTCTATCTTTTACACGTGTGCGAATTCACCAGAACTTATGACAACGAATCAATAGTGTCGATAAGGACATTTTGCATTTTTATGGATGTAAAAAAAGAAAAATTTATGATATCATTCATTATGCTCTCTACGGATGTTTGCTCCGATTATTTATATAGTTGCGTTACCACTAAACTCTACGAATAATTCCATGACTATATATACAATTTTATCAAACAGACAAGATCACAAACAATGAATAAAAAAGACCCTTGTCCAGTGTTCAATGATCCTCATCTTTTCCATCAATAATAATAATAAACTGTTGGTCGAAGGTAAAAAAATGTACAATTATTAAAAGTGAATAAAATCCTATAAAATATCTATGATCTGGGGGATAATGAGACGTTGATTCACTATCAAATGCGATATTATTTAAGAAACTGACATTAATCAAATTCCTCGCGCGTGAGCATCTAATAATTACTGACAATATAATAAATAAATTAGGATGGTTTCAAAGTTCTTTTGATTCGGGGGTACAAACATTTTAAAAGATTGAACATGAAAAAGAAAAACCCAGAGAGCATTCCCTCCGTAGGTTTAATACTATTTAATATTAAATGTTGCTCTCTCATTTAAGAAAACCTTCTACCATCATTTGACCAATATCAAAATTTGTACCACTCAGTACAAAGAGTCGTGCCGAATCTTCTTGAATGAGAGGATCGCAAGGCATGATAGCGATAAAAATGTTCAACTCTATTATTATCCCTCCGATTGCACGCCGAGAAAAAAAAATCCATTCACACAAGAAAATTCACACGTATCAGCAAACGAACAACGCAGCCCATCCATCAGATCGTTGAATTGCTTAGAAAAGAAGGAGTACATACATCGTGATTGAAATAATTCTAAAACTCACTAGTCATTCGAATAACACCACTCATCAGGCACTCATCTAAAAAAAAAACCATTAATCAACTGACGACATCGGCCACGTTCGTTCGTTACTTAATCATTACACAGATGCTCTTAAACTTAAAATAGAAGTCAGTTTTTGTTTGAATATACCCGTTTTCATGAAAAAATGTAGGAATTCACGATACAATACTCCTCGCTGCCTTGGTATTATTATTCGTTGCATTAGCATTTGTATTGTGTGACTGGGCGAATAAAACTCCCTCATACATGACACCGTTCAATTCCATACTGACAACTAGAGAATTATCCCCATTTCTGCCGTCTCCCCTGTTTGATATTTTAATGTGTGTACCAGGTAATGAGGGCACGTATTTGTCGTGGGTTGACTCGTCGTCTGAGAGAGATCTCTTGGGTGGTGGTGGTCCAGTGTTGCCAGTTAACTCAGTATCCTTTTTCACCCTCATACTGCCACCGGAGGATTGGGGGCTGTGTCTTGTGGGTGATGAGGACATTGGCGATGATCTCAAACCGAGATCGAGGGCCTCCCTCTGAGGTTCAGGACTCGAAGCCTGGGGATTTGGCGAGTGCGGGGGCTGTGGTGATAGCGGCTGCTGATGCATATTCGGATACAATGTGTTGTTGTTGTAGAGATTCCATAATGTAAGTCGTGACATCTCAGCGATTGCGTTGTCACGTGGTGGAGTGCTGGGTGGAGGTGATGCACTACCCTGTCGGTGGATTGGTGGTGGTGTACTTGCACCGGCATTTCTGAATTCCTTGTTGAATAGTTTTATGTATTCAGCCATTCGCGCCTCCAGCTCAGCCGCAGCTAGACCAGGTATTGGTCCTGGAAAAAAAATAAATACTATTCGTTAATGCCTGAGGCCGGATTTCGTCATTTAGGCAGCACTGGGGCATTTGCTGGGGGTAAAGTGCTATGTGAGGCAAGGAACTGGACATTTTTTTTTTTTGTAATTGACGTAAAGTCAGTTAAGTGGAATTTTATCTTTTTGTTAATTTTTGTAATGAATTATGTATGACGTAGAAAATTCCGGAGGAATTTATTTCCCTGTTTTCTTCTCACGTTTTTGGTGAATGAGAACTATGAAATTGGGATCACGCTTGGTGGATGGATAGGAAAGAGGGGGCAGGGGGTAGGAATGCTCGTTAGGGAGAGTCATCCGTTAACGCCTGTCTCACGGTGGATCGTACAATCAATTACGTCTCTGCCTCTCGCATCATCATCTTCGGGGAGGCACTGAGACCCCTTCTAACTATCGATTTAAAATAAACCTACTGCTCCCCTCTTGCCCCACCAGGCAGTTTAGTGTTTTTTTTGTCTCATCTGTGTAATGGATTATTTCCTGGATTTTTGAGAGGGATCATCTCGTGGGGGAAATGAGGATTTTTTGTTTGATGGAAAATAGTGACAGGAATTGGAGACGTGAATTACCATTTGGTAGTTGTCCCAAACCCTGGGGATGATGTGGATGGTGCGTCAGGGGGGTATGTGCTGTGCTTCCATTCAGCAGTGATTGTGAACCATGATGCTGACCTCCTACTGCTGTGACCAGCGATAATGGTGACATTCCAGCATGCAAGGCGAGTGAACTTGGTGTGTGGGAATTTCTCTGCATCATGTTATCACCTCCACCTCCGCCGTAGGCACCGTAACTACTGCGACGTCCCTCACGTCTGTTTCCGTCAATTGCCGCTTGCAATTCCGCTGGGGTGGACAGTCTTCGTTTCTCACACTCGTAGGGATATAGATATTTCATGTATCTGAAAATAAATAAATTTCATTGTTGAAAATAAAAAAAGTCATCTACCCGACTCGGCCTAAATTCTACCTCAATTCTCCGAGTACAAAATTCAACTGCACATTTATAATTTCAAGATGCCGGATGTAGAATTGGAACATTTCACCTTGGAAATAGCATAAATCTTGAAAATTTCACCAAAAATTACTTGAATCACAGAAAATGATAGTTTACGATGGAGCGAAAAATGCGCCTTCCTTAAAATTATAATTTTATAATCTCTGGATAGTTAGTAACGGCAGTTAATAAAACCAGTGTAACCGAGGCATCGTATCATCATAAGCAGTAAAAAAATAAAATGTAAAATGGTATCCGCACACTTGCCCCATACCAATCAAACCTGCCATAATCTTGGACCATCAATGTCTCGCATGTACGTAGAATTCAAAAGTTACGACCATCATTTCTCGCGGTTATCTCGACGTCGATACATGATGCATAAATATAATCCCCCCGAAACTTGTCCTTTTCGCAATGAACTTTTATTTGGCGTACTTTTTTCTTGGCTGAAAGTATCGATTGTAGCCGGGAGGGGTAGTCCAGTGCTGAGCCACGGTATCAAGCTGAAGTAAAAGTTATATTCCTTTCTTTCGTCCTTCACTGGGATGCGTTGAAGAAGAATACACTCAACTGCTGTTTCTCTCATCTACCGCAGCCTATAATTCGCGCGGGGATCGTTGGGATTTTTACGATTGTCTGGGGCCCGTGCAGACGAAAACTATTGGGATATTTCTCTCACTCCAACCGTCGAGTTACATATGAACAAGGTAACACGTGTCGATACCAAAAACGAACTGACGTAAATCTCTGGGCTTCCAATGCCAATAGGGTGTTAATCAAATTCGGAGGAGAAAACGCCGAACGTTGCATTAAACCCGATACTTGAAGACGTAAACGTAAAACGAAAAGGTGAATGCCAAAAAATAAAAAATCAAGATAAAATGAGGAAACATTTGGGCAAACATCAAAGGGAATTCCGTGGATTGGTGTTGTTTCAATTTTTATCATTGAATAATATTTGGACAGGGTTATCATTATTATCGGGAAATGGGGCGACTGCATGGCAGCCTAGGCTCCTACCAATTCTGTGTTTGTATATACGAAAACGGTGGATCGTATCGTAAGCGGTTGCTCCCCCAGGGTTTTTCAGTTCAAACCAAAATATACGAATCCGTATTGCCCTCGTAATATCGTTAGATGCCAAGTACAAAAGGAATTACACACGAAGAAGAGGCATTCAGTATCAAAAGGCTTCTTTGTAATTCTCGGTAGGTTGAGTGAGGATCGTTAATTTCCCGGAATCAACACAAATAAAGATGAGAAAATTTACCTTTTAGTTTGATATTTTGTGGTGATGGCTACGAACGAGTGTTTGAAAGGTGAGAATTTATTTGACCCTTTCCACTCGTCGCTTTCATCTCGGACTTCAAGGAAATACGCCATTTGGTTAATTTCTGAATTATCATTAAGCTGTCGGATTTCTTATTTTTTTTATTCAATACCAGAGGCATGTAAATGAGGGTTGTAAAAAACTTCAATTATCATTTTGACCTTTTATTTGAAATATAAGTTTTTTCCACGTAGGTGTATATCTATGCATATTTAATATTCATTAGAATCGAGAATAGCAAATTGAATTGATTCTAAATATACGTCAAGAGACGTTTAGGATGACGAATGCGTCCAAATAGATTATCCCGGTGATAGGATTGTGAGGAGCGTGTGTGACGGGTGGGGGGAAAAGCAAAAGGAAAATTGAGAGACATCCAGAAGAATAAAACGAATTAAGTTGGTAGTTTGAGATCGTACCCCTGTCGCCTATGTGAAAATAACTTGGAAGACGCGGGTTTGTGTATGACATGCGCCCGACATTCTGTCGGCAAAGTACATCCATCATTCGTCAAACAAGGCGCCTCACCAAGTTCTTTATTAAAAGCCCCAGCACCTACTCCTATCAATTATACACCTTCCTCACCTCCTCTAATGTCACATAGATTCATAGATTTCCTTTTCACATCGACCGATTAGTTGAAATAAAAATTTACTCACTGTGTTCGTAGGGTAAATGCAGCGGATGTGATGCTAGACGGCAGGTGAAGTCCCTTGATGATTTCCTGCCACAGTTTCTTGTTGATTACGTCGACAAGACCGCCCCGAGCAATTACCAAATTGTAGAGCTCGTACAGATCCAATACCGATTTTGCCATTATTGGTAGCCGATTTATTGGAGTACCTGAAATTTGATAATTTAGCAATTTTTAAATTTCGTTAAAAACGTGTGTCTAGAAATAAATGGAATATGGCCCAGGTAGGTTTGAACAATTGATGAATGAGGGCAAATAATTAAAGCCAATATCGGAGTGAGGGAGAAAATGGCGCCACCCTCGAAATGTTAATCGAATGGAGTATTATTTTACCAGAGAGAAAAACTTAACGACTGCTCGAAGCCAAGGAGCCAAGAAGCCAAGAAGCCAAGAAACCAAGAAGAGCGTATACTCCTATAGCCTATGCAGACCCCCAACGTTAACAAGTGTAATAACAAATTCGCGACTATCACGCGATGGGCGACGTAGTTTTACGACTTTACAAACGATTTTGTGTACGTCGGTAACAGGAGTTTGTACCTATGGATAAGAAATGCGAGAATATCCAAACAGGCTGCTATATGCAAAGGATCACGAGAGGATCGTTTATCCGTCATGGAGGACGCAAGGGGCCCCTTGCATCGAGACAACCCGCCATATTTACCTCGTAGCGTATATACAACCAGGGGTAATAACGCGAAACACTGTTGGCGGGGTGGAGGTGCGCTGTTGGGGTAGGGGAACCAGCAATTTCGGGCTATCGAGGAGGCCTTCGCCCCTCTGGCTTTATTATTGGCCCTGCAATTACCGTTGATATACGCGTCCCGGCAACCAGTTTAATGTCCCTATAGTGAACGCAACAATAAAGCGCCCCTCTCCCTCCCCCTGCATTTATATTGCCATCCTTCTCCCTCCGCGAGTCCATTCACGGGGTTAAAATGGCGGACAGACACGAAGAGACGCGATATGGCGGACCTTGAAAACATTGCGCGGAAAATTTTTAAATGTAGATTCTTCAATCCAAGCGTGAAATATTATTCTATATGCTGTATTCTTCACCATTCCTCCATCTGCCCTCGTAATGCGAATATTTCAATGAAAATTGCCCGAAAAAACTTGTTTGACGCGCCATTATCCCCTACGGTTTTCATAAATTTCTCACCGTGAAATCGTCTATCATTGATTACGATGGATAGAGAAGGTGAAGAGTGGATACTCTGTTGTGGGCTTTTTATTTTTAACGTTTGCTGGAGAATCCCAAGCAGCAGCCATAGTACCTCGGTGCACCAAGGCTTTTATGACGAATAGGCGAAACGTGATTCGAATGCCGAGGATATACTGTATTCGTGGTGGATGACCAAGCGAGAATTTTACCAAGTGTTGACTTTGGTGTTGCGGATGTAACAATGGAAAATAAAACACATACACTTTGCACTTGTATGATATAGGGATGTAATGTTTTAAATTTGCAACACTATCGCTGCTCATTTTCACTATTTTCACATTTGAATCCTTTTGCCGATTGGACCTGGAGAAGTTGGAGGAGGAATGGGAATGGGAATGGGAATGGGAATGAGAATTGGCGATGAGGAGAGGAATGAAAATCCATGAAAAAGAAGAATGAGATAGGGGACAGGGGACAGAGGAGGATTTTTCTCATTGTTTGCCGGAGTGAGGAGACGTTTCGAATGAGTGAGATGAAAGAAGCATTCAGGATGGCGATTACGACTTTTCTTGGTAGGGCGTCCAATCAGCAGTTATTTTTATAATGGCCGCCGCGTCCTGCTGTGGGTACCGCGACGCTCGCGGTGGCCATTGTACATTGAACATCTTGGTTTTTGAGGTGATACACCACGGCTCCATCATCCGCAGGACCGCCAGGTCATTCGAGTAAAAAGAAATGAATGAGAGAATTCACGGGATTTTTTTGACCGCCGCGGATGATTGCCATTGACCAGGGCTATTGCACTGTTTACAATTCGCAGGTGGCCCTTGCTAGATTACTCATTACTCCATTACTACATTATTAGGTATTATTAGTCATCTTGTCAAATTGATACAAAATGAAAGAGTGGGAAAGGGATGAGCGGGGCATTGGCAATACGCGCCCATCCGGCTGGCATGGGCGAGGCAAGGTGGCCGTGAGGTAATTGGTATACGAAACAAAATGTTGCATTTTATGGGTTATTGTGATGGCCGTAGTGTGCACGAGACAGATAGAGGGGGAGTGTCCAATCTAATAACGATCGGCTCTCGAAAAGAGACCCGGAGGCCTTTATTAACCCGAAACTATATACACACATTCGAAGACCAAGTCTGCGCTATATACACTGGATGTATAATATGAGGCATTTGGGGCGCGCGAAACGACTTTTCCCAGAATCACTCGCGTGACGACCTTAAAATCTATCGAATAAACCCGAAATATTGGCTTTGGCTTTCGAATTCATCGACACTCAACTCGACATCGACATCGACATCGACATTGTGAACGATTTTTAAACCCATTAGCACTGCGCGCGCAGCGAGGTGGCCGCTAGACAGCCATTGCTTTGCTAAAAGTCGAGTGCAGTCTCGGAGGGTCAAGTATCGATCATTCATGGCGAAATGAAGGAGCCCAGGGTCGAATTTCATTGAGACTAAAAAAAAATGGAATATCCCCCTCCACCCAGACGAATCGGTGAATTCCACGCGTCACTCTTTTGTGAAACGATGATTTGCTGTTCATTTTATTTCCCTTCAACTGGGGTTAACTTTGTTAGCCCGGGACGAGAGAACGAGCGGCATTATCAACCGAGCTGAAAGAGGCGAAATTGGCATTGCGGCGGTTTGTTGTTACCTACATGTGTCTGCGGGAGTGTGAGAAAGAGATGATGGTTTTGGAAATAAAAAGAAAGAGGAGAAAAATAATACGAGACGGAGGGAACAAGAGGGGGTGGAGTCCTGGATATGAAATACACGTGACATTTACTGCTTTACCGGCTGGCCTCAGCCAAGATTCAAACGTATTATAAATAGATCTACCCTCTTGATGCTATTCAAAAGGGGATTGAAGAAGAGACAGCAGTATGAGGCTAAATGCGAATAGCAAGGATGGTAATGCCGACTGTTACAATCTCGTTTTATAATCTTGTTAGGATTTCGCGGAAATATTGGTGTAATTTATGTGATGCTTTCAGACAGCCTCAGGAAATATTCAACACTGAGCGTACATTTTTCTCCATTCACTTTCTTTTGTCTTGACGATTCATCGTGGCTCAACAATGGAAATAACAATGACACTAGGTGAATAGAAGGATGAGACGAGATAATCGTGATTGGTCTAGTGGTGGCGCCACACAGGGAGGGGATTTGAGATGTAATCGAGGCGTGATCTTGAGGGCCAATCATCCACACCCTTATACCCACCTACCACCACCACCACTTGTTGCTCAACTCAGATGAGCAAATGTCTGATCCCTAGCTCCCCGGAGGTGCCTGATACTGAATATCAAATATTTATTCATAAAAGGACAAAATAAAATACGAGTCGATAGACAAAGGATATTGGAGAATGAGAAAATGGGTGCGCCGGTGAAGAAGGCTGCTGTCCAGCCGGATATATTCTACATGGGTGGGCCAATGGGGAAAACTCACTCATCATATAACACGAGGGGGCTTCCAACCGCGAAGACAACGACAATAAAATCCTCCAAATAATACTGCGGAGTAATAAAGCAACGGGACTCAGTGTAATATCGTATAAGTTGAACGTGTTCACCAGGTCTCTCTTCGGTTCCTTTGATACTGTTTATGAGGCGGTTTGATTTTCTTCGTCAACGCTTCGGCAAAATATCCCCGTCCTGCTTTATGATTCTTTATGATGACAGTATGTCCACATGCCTCTCTTATTTAACAAATTCATTGACAATTTTAGATCGTTGATTTTACATCTGGAAAAAATAAATCGATTCGTGTACGACATGCAGTAGCAGCTTGGAAGAAGAATTGCCAGCTAAATCTAAGTATTGAGATCGTGTGGGTGAGAATACAGGATTCAGAGGCACGTTTTCATAAATGAACCTGGGGAATGTAGGAAGATGAAGAACGATATGTCAGAATGTTCTACTACCCTCCAAGCACCATTGCTGGTGTTGTGAAATATTAATAAGCAAATTAGTTTGGAGAATCGTACGTGTAAAGATATGGCCGGAGGATGGATTGTACGAGTCGTAAATTCACCTCCTACACATTTAATTCTCATATTGCAATGGGTGGTAAAAAGGAGATGAACTTATGGATTTCCTTTCCTTGGGGAAATTGAGATCAATACCACCTGATTGGAGACACGCTCCACTAGGGTAGAGGAAGTGGTAGATGTTGAGGAAGTGTGTGCGTTGGAAAAAGGAGCGGAGGTGAGAGGTGCTGTCGAGTCGTTGTTGGAAGAATGAAGTTGGAGGATGCCTTTGGTGAATGGGCGTCCTCGTGGCACGAGTCACGCTGGGACACTCCTCTATACTAATACAAGGTATATGTGTCAGGACTTGTAAGCCAGGGGGGGAGCACTTTTTCAACGAGTCATCGTGGAGAGGAAAAACTACCTGCGTAATAGCGCCACATGGGTGCTTTTTTTTATCAAGAGCTCCTGGAATCCCATTGTCAATCGATACCTCATCGCGGGTGAATAAAAAATATATAAAATATACCTCAAAGAAAATTTATTTCCTCCAGCCCCGAGGGCTTTCCGGAGGATGAACAACTCCATTACTGGTGAGGAGCACATTTTTTTTTTCATGAATTTAGATGTCTTTAATGGTGGGTCAGTTGTTTGAGTGTTGGATTTAAGAGGTGGTGAGGAGAGGTGAGATTGAAGATTTATTGGTTCTCTAAGGGAAATTAAATTCCCTTCACAGTTGTTCATTTCAGACACTTGCCTATTCGATATTACGAGTGGGTGAAGAGCCACGAGTGAAAATTCGCGAGAGTGACGGGGGTTGAGCACAAGAATTTCGACAATTACGTGACAGCGTGTGTAACGAATGATGGCGAGGGGTTATACAGTAGCACCTCTGGGTGTACTCCTGGCGTCAGGGTGTCTAGAATGTGCAGACGTCATTGAGTTAAATGCTTTTCCACCAAGGCAGAGTGAGCGTGTGCCTCTGAGCTCGTT